ATATAAATCATTTAATTCTGAGCAGTCTGTGCTATACTGAAGTGATAGTTCAGATAATTTATTGAGGTGTCTTGTGGAAAAGTTATAAATAAGGGTTTTCCAGCTGCAGTTAGCTTCTTGAGCATGTTCAGTTTGAAGAAATAAAGTTTATTTCTGACCAGATTTCCTGCTAAAGACTTATATAAATTGCTGTTTTCTTAAAACAATTTCTGTCACAGACTTTCATAACTGACATGTGAACAACGCTAACTTCAAATCTGTTTATTTTCATTTCGTTTGTGTTGGTTATTTACAAAGCGCTTTGCAAACAATCACTGCCAGCAGCAGCTAGCTGTAGCACTTCTCATGCAGCTGGGACACCAGAATAACTGTGATGCAAACTTGATTGTAAAAGTTTAATAGTTTGCATGAACAGCTGTAAAAATGTTAGAGATTTAAGTTTTTTAAGACCAACCATAATCCTCTTTAGTTTTAGTTTGCAGACGTTAACTCATTGGTCTGTTCAGAATAACATTTCTCCAAACTCAGATGTCATTTACAACAGGTAAGATGCTATTTATTTATATTCTTTCCACAAAACCCCATTTCAGAAGTTTACTAATGCTTTAAGTGTGCATTAAAATACCTTATCACATATCATACTACTGCTACAAATGCAAGTTTTAAAAATAAATACTTACAAATTAAAAAGTCATTATTTTGTGTTTTCAAACCATCAAAAGCATGCTGGGAAACAAACTGTTGGATGTCAGAATCTTACTTTAAGCTGGATGGATGTTTCCTGTCAGCAGCAGAGCCCATAATACTGCAGGTAAGTCAGAGTAACACTCAGGTGATGCTGGGACTTCTCGGATGACGCGCAGGGTGAAGAGGGGGAATTAAAAGTGCGCGTGCTCAGGTGTGGAGTCAACACGCAGCTATTACTTAAACCTCAAGTAAACATGAGTTCAAACCCACGGACAGGAAAAACATGACGCACAGCAGATGTCATCATAAAAACCTGCAATTTCTGCGGGTTTACTTTGTTTTGTAGCCATATGCAGTTTTGTAAAAACCGACGCCCTTGAACGCAGCAGAGGAAAACGCGTCTCGGCTGTTTTTTTTTTTTATCAGACTTTAGATGAGCAGAATGATGCGACTCGAGTGTAAAAAAGCTTTGAAGCGAAATTATCCTGCAAAGCAGAGGCATCAAAAGTGCGGACAGAGCAGGAATGTCACTCATCAGTTGAAGGCCCCGCCCCCAGCGTGACGTCTAACCATCAGGAGTCAGACGCTCATCAGTCTCCAGTCAGAGCTACAAGGAGAACACAGTCACATCTGACAGATCCGAGGAGAGGAGGAAAGGTAAAGTGTCTTTGAAACTTTAAAGGCTTTAAAGTTTATTTAGGCGTAAAAAACAATAGAAGGACGCAAATCGGAGCAGTTTGGATTTTTAATGTGAGAAACATCTGGAACATCTCGTAGGTAAAACTGTTTCTGCAGCTTTCCAAACTAAACGCGCGCAGCCTTTTCCAGGAATAGATGAAAGGTCTTAATGAGGTCTGCACGTCTGCGTGTGAGCAGATTTTATTGGTTTTAAAGTGGTTTGTCGGAGAACAAAAAGCGCTTGAACACCGATTTCTGTCCTCCTTTTAGCACCGACTTTGATGTTTCTCACAGAGCTGCTGCTGCGCGSTTGGCATGCATGATGAAGACTTACAGAGGGGAAGTTGTTGGAAAATATAGCCTGGTGTTTATTTTTTTAAAGAAACTTTACAATTTTTTTTAAAATATAGTATTTTAAAAGAGGCATTTCTTGTCTGATTTAGTTCATGTTGAGCTTTTAAATTGCCAGTGATGCTGGTGCTTTATTTGTACAACAAACACACTAGACTTGACATGAAAAAATTCCCTGAAGAAGCCAGAAGGTCCAGTTTGGTTGTAATTTAGTCCACACAGAGACCAATGATGTCTGTAAATGATTGGCATGTAACAAGAGCCAGAGGGAATCGTGTTTWAATAGTGGTATCAAAAGTGGAGCAAAGGTGTTATCAGGCAGTTGCCTAAGCATCAGTCAAAGTAGTGAGTAAATCTTGGCAGCAACAAAAGATTCTGTCTACATGCAGACAGCGTACAGTTTGATGGAGCTGGAAACTGCGTGTAAGCGTAACTGCAGCATATGACACACACACACACACACACACACACACACACACACACACACACACATGTATGTTTCTCAGCCCCGTGGGGAACTTCCATTGACTTCCATTCATGTTTTTTAGACTTTATAGCCTAACCCTGACCATATACTCTAAAATTAACCTGACCCTAAAACTAACCTAAACATTGGTCCTAAACCTAACCCTACACCCGTAACTTGCATTTGGACCCATGAGGACCTGGCATTGGTCCCCACGAGGCTGTTTTTAAATTTGGTCAAAAATTACCCACGTTGTACCTGTATACACACACACGCACACACACACACACACGCACACACACACACAGTGAAGGTTCTGGTCAACCAAGACCAATCAAACCAAGAGAGGAGTATTGTATTGTGTAAGCTTTACAGAACCCCATAATACTGTATGTAAGCTGCAACTATTCCAACACTGGTACTGGTCTTTGTACAACACACTGTACTGTGTGCTCATGACTGACTTCAGCTGGACTACAATTTCACAATTGCCTGGCCCTTGCCTTCCTWTGCAGTTYTGCTCAATTCTAGTTTCRCTTCACTGCTCCGTCTGGGATTTCTCCCATAGACAAGGATTTCTTCAGAAGCATTTTATTAGGGCCAGTCAGAGAACAAAACATTGATTTTCTGCGCAGTGTCAGCTTATAGTTTTTTTCACCTGGGCCAATTAGCAAACAGAAGGCAGAGTTTTGAATTATGTTGATTTTCTGCGTAGTGTTTTGCTAGTTAGTTTAGTAATGGCAGTGGTGAAAGTGAATGAAGTCAGTCCGTATTGATAAGGCTTCTAAATTAAATTAAGTTTGTCTGACAAAGTCTGCAGCTCTCATTTACAGTCGTCTCGTACAGCTCGGTACGTTTCTCCTGTCAGTAAAGTGGTTTACAGCGCACACAATTTCCGGTTAGCCTTCTTCACAGTGCAGCTGGCACTTGCGGCCAACCGATCCAATCATTTTAAACTTCAGCAGAGGCCACGCCTCCAGCAAGAATCACTTCTCTATAGCCCAGAGTCCAGACCCTCGTACGAAGCAAAGTGAAGGACGAGGGTCTGCAGCAGAAGACGCAGCAAAAACTGAAGTGTTAAAATGTCAGTGTTGAAATTTTCAGAGTTCACAAGTTTTATTTTAACACTTTGAGTTATTGACATCCAGTGTTGGTGTTAATTCACAGAGAGGATTTTTATCAGTGTTTTTTTCAAAGCTGGAGAGAGTTAAATAAGCTTCAACATCATGCAGTGTTGAAAAAGTTTTCTAAAAAGCCCCACCCACTTCCACCTCATGCCAGATGGACCAGAATTTTCAAAGCCGGGGATGCTGGGTAATCTTGTGGAAGTTATGTGTTTGCGTGTGTATGGCCAAAAAATAGCTGTTCTGGTTAGTAGTCTTGTTCATATTGGTCAGTCGTTCATGGTTACGTCTGTTGAGTGAGAGGTACTTTAAGTGTGCTGTTTTAAAACTAATTAACAGTGGTAATGCAACCCTTAAAGACTTTACTTTTACTGTGTGTCACAGTTCACTGTACAGTGTAAAACTTACACTGATCTTGTATGTTAGGTCCCAGCCCTTGGATATTTTAAAGGGGGCCCTCAGAAAGTAGGGATGCTCCAGGTTGGGTGAGAATTGGACTCATGTTTTGGATGACCCTGTCAAAGTWGGGGTTTTTTGGGGGGATTTTGCAGGGCCCCGTTGGAGAACCCAGAGCCACAGAGCCATGGGGCCACCTCTGACGCATCCCTCCTGACCCCCACAACTACATATAAAAAATCAGCCTTCTAGCCCAAGTGCAAAAAAGTGTCGTCCAATTCATTTGACTCATCTAAACATTGTCCCACCAAGAACCTAAGAGTATTTTTCTAGAAGGTGGTGAATTCCACCACTCTGTCTGAGTGCTTAGTTTTATTTGTTTGTGTGCATTTTTAAAAAGTAGATTACATCTATGGGTTTAATTCCAATATGTTTGGTGTTTTAACGTCTGGGGTAAAATAATAACTTTTATTCCTCTTCTTGCAGGTTCTACCACAATGATGGAGCTAATGACCACTTCTCCTTTCTACCACACTAATTCAACCGATGAAACTGGRAGTAATGTTTCTTGGTATGAAGAGTATGACTACAGAGATGATAATTTTTCCAAAGATGATCACACTGAGCTGAGACGGTCACTCAACATCATGTCTCTGATTGTTTACTCCCTGGCCTTTGTCCTYGGTGTGCTCGGGAATGGAGTGGTTATCTGGGTGACCGGCTTCAAGATGAAGAAAACKGTGAACACAGTTTGGTTCCTCAACCTTGCTGTGGCCGACTTCCTCTTCACAGCATTCCTGCCTCTCAGTGTCACATACACAGCTATGGATTTCCACTGGCCATTTGGGAAGTTCATGTGCAAGCTGAACACCACTATTAGCTTTCTGAACATGTTTGCCAGTGTCTACATCCTTGTRGTGATCAGTGTGGACAGATGTGTGTCTGTGGTGTGGCCCGTCTGGGCCCAGAATCACAGAAATGTACAGAAGGCTTCCAGTGTGAGTCTGTGTGTTTGGGCTCTGGCTTTAATCCTCAGCGCTCCGTACTTTGTCTTCAGGGACACCGGTCCATCATACCACAATGAAGACATCATCAACTGCTTCAACAACTTTGCTTTCTCTGACGACTATGAAACTCCATCTGTGATTCGGTTACGACTGTTTCGCCATCAGGCCATGACCATCACTCGGTGTGTCCTTGGGTTTGTCATMCCCTTCACTGTCATTGTCTCCTGTTATGCCGTCATAATCCATCGACTTAGCAGAAACCGCACCCTGGCCAGCCATTCAAGTCGTCCTTTTAAAATCATTGCTGCCATCATCGTCACCTTTTTCCTCTGCTGGGCTCCCTTTCACATCATGGGTCTAATTGAGTTGGTGCATCACATGACAAATTATGCAAATGAAACATTTGACCACATCGTTATGATTGGTGTCCCAATCGCAACCAGTCTGGCCTTCCTGAACAGCTGCATGAAYCCACTGCTGTATGTGTTCATGGGACAAGATTTTAAGGATAAAGTCCGCAAATCCATCCTGAAGGTTTTAGAGACGGCCTTCCAGGAGGAGGTGTCTCGCTCCTACACCTACACAAACTCCATGATCACCATCCGAAGCAAAGACAAGTCTTTCTCTGATGCCGAGGTSTAAGGTGTTCACTGATAMAGACTTTAAACTGAACWATGTAAATATTTCTGATTTAAAAAAAATAGTGTTTTGTCTTTGTTTTGTTTGTTTTTTTCTGTTGAGCATTTGTACAGCTTCACTATGCAGGTCAGTTTTGTGTACAATATCTCCTTAAACCTAGGGAATTTTTACATTGTAAGGCCCATCCTGGCCACAGTCAGCCTGGCCTTATTCTACCCTGGCCACGGTTGTGTTTGCTTTTGAGCCAGTGGCAGAGCGAGACATTTTTCCCAGGGGTGGCCAAACTGGCACCACTACTCACACKGGGGTGGCCAAGAAAATTACACAATTTTTTTACTTGAAAGTTTCTGCAGATCTTTGTGTTTTGGTCATTTCATCACATTTCATCACAGGCAGTGACTACCTTATAAACATGGGCATCAGAACCATCCTAAAAGTGGGGCGACAAACCGTTGAGGGGTCTGGGGGTCCTCCCCCAGAAAATTTTGGACAAAATAGATGCCATTTCCTGCGTTCTGTTGTATTTTACCAGGTTGTTAAACATACTTTTACCTACTTAAATTAACACTTGATTTAATTATTTCAGAGACAGATTTTTGATTAAACTAGTTCCATCATCCTGTTTTTAAACTCACTATATCTGAGATAAGATTAACTAATGTGTCATTATTTATCATATCCAATGTCTTTAGGGGTGCTTTTTAGTTTTATATTGTTTATTGGTTTATTTTTAATTTTTAACACATGCCAAATAACGATGACCCTCAACTGCATGTTTAAAACTAACATTATAAATTTTACCCAATGAATTTTGTGAATTTAGAGGGGTGTTTCACTTTTTCTGATTTAGTGATAGGTCTGCTCATAATAAACAGAGAGCATCATGCAGCCTTCGTAATGTAAAATGACACTGTTATGGTGACAAAAAATAATAAAATAAATTAAAAATATAAAACATTTGCCGCCATAAGTCCAAAAGTTGACACCACAAGTCAGATTACAGGCATAGGTACTTTTTATAAAGAAAACAATCACTTCCTTGTCATTACTCTTCTTCAGTGATAGAGCTTGGTGATGTTTCAAACAGTTAAACACTGCCACCAACTGTTCAGGAGGATTATTACACTCCTAAATGTTGTTTTACTGTGGAAGGGGTGTATACATCAGGGTGGCCAATGGGGTGGCCAAAGATTTGTCTATGATGGCCATGGCCACCCCTGGCCACCCCTTGGCCCCGCCCTTGCTTTGAGCGGGGAGCCACTTCGATGTGGGCATGAATCATAATATTAAAAACATTTCAATCTTACTTTGTTTCATTTGTTACACAACAATGGACCACACTAAACTTGATGGAAAAGTACTGAACATTGTACTGGGCCATCCAACGGTATGATGCTGAAGATGAGAGGCAAGATGACAGAGGGCTGTAAGCAAATGGAAGTTAATGTTAACTTCCTTTGCTTGGTAGCTTGCTACAGTTGCTGTGTAGTTAAACTTGCGAAAAAATGTTACCATCGTGAACAATTCAAGTAAATTTAATCATATTTCTGTGACGTGATGCCCCTGGTTAGTGAACCTATCAATAAGCAACAGAAGCTGACGTCAAATCGGACTGGGCAGGCTGGCTTAATTGGAACAGTTCTCGCGGTTTTAGAAATTGGGGCGGAACTGGGCCATGAGGGCTAATGCAAACACACTGAACCTGGGCTTGAACCCAGGCTGGGTCTTGCAGTGCAAAAAGCTCATTACTGTTATTTTTTCTTTTGTTTAGTTAAGAAGACATCAGGATTTTCAGTTGCAGCACAAATCATACGGTTTCCTGTATACCAAAGAAAAGAAGGCTGAAACTTAGTGTTTACAAGTTACTTCTGCTCTGCATATAGAATCCACACATTATAAAATGAGCTGTTCAAAGCATCAACATCAAGTCCATCTGCCAGCTTCCCTTTCTCATTTAACATGACAAATGAAACAATGACACTGCCACAAAACCCAGCTGTGGGTCTGAACAGTCTGTAATTTATGCAAAGTCAGCTCTTATACTTAGTCTATAATATCATTTTCACTAAACTGCATATTGTGCTTTTTTCTGTGCATYGCATAAATAGCTACAAGTATTAGGACAGTTTAATTTAATTTAAAAAACACATGTAACAGTGACTAACAGTTTATTATTCATGAAAAGACCATCATGTTGTATAATAAGCTTTGAAAGCGTGAATGTCTTTTTGTAAATGCATGTCGCAAATGTAACATAATAACATTAAAGTTTAATTTCAGTGTATTCCTTTTATTTCACCCACASACTGTCTTTTTTTAGGTTTAGATGTTCCAATGCAGAAATTGGTTTTTACCTTACAAAAATCTGCTCAAATGATATCTTGTGATGCTTTTTGTCTATTTTCTGTCATGAATATACAAATTTTATGAGTAAAGGTAGGCCTACAATTGAAACCAGAAATTTAAATACACTTTAAAAAGACACATGCATTTTTTTACACTGCCTGATGTGAAATCAGCATAAACTACTTGATTTAGGTCAATTAGGATTACCAATTTTATTTCTATTTGCTAAATGCCAGAATGAGAGAGAATTTTTTAAGGCAATTTGTATTACATTCTTCAAAGTCAAAAGTTTACATACACTTCATTAGTAKTTGGTACCATTGCCCTTAAATTGTATGACTTGGGTAAAATGTTTTGGATATTTTTCCACACGCTTCTCACAGCAATTGACAGGAATTTCAACCCCTTCCTCCTGACAGAACTGGTGTAAGTGAGCCATGTTTGTAGGCCGCCTTGCTCACACATCTTTTCAGCTTTTTTCCATGAAATTTTTATAGGACTGAGATCAKGTATTTGTGATGGCCACTCCAAAACATTGACTTTGTTATTCTTGAGCCACTTTGTAACCAGTTTGGCAGTATGCTTCTGGTGATTGTCCATTTGGAAGACCCATTTGCGCCCAAGCTTTAACTTCCTGGCTGATGTCTTGAGACCAAACTGATGGTCATTATGACCAAACGGTTCAGTTTTAGTTTCACATTGGACATGTCTCCAAAAATCAAGGTCTTTKTCCTTGCATTTGCAAATGTTAATCTGGCATTTTCATGTTTCTTTTGAAGCAGTTGCTTCTTCCTGGCAGAGTGGCCTTCAGCCCATGTGGATCCAATACTTGTTCCACTGTGGATAATGACACTTTTACTAGCTTCAGTCAGCATCTTCACCAGGTCTTTTGCTTTTGTTCTTGGGTTGATATCCGCATTTCAGACTTAAGCATGTTCATATCTGGGACACAAAACTCATCTCCTTCCTGAGCAGTATGATGGCTGGACACTTCCATCTTGTTTGCAGTCGTGTTTAATTGTTAGTACAGGTGGAGGAGGCACCAGGCATCTGGAAAATGCATCCAAGGATTAATCAGACTTGTGCATGTCCTGAAATGTTGGCTGATTTCTTTCCAATTTCCCATGATCTCACACAAGGACAGAGTGTGTTTCAGGTAAATTACATCAACAGGTATGTCTCTAATGAACTCAGATGTTATCAACAAACCTATCAGAAGCTTCTAAAGACATGACATCAAATGTCCCAAACTGTTTAAGGGCATAGTAATCTTGGTGTGTTTAAACTTCTGACTTTGAAGAAAGTAATAAAAATTGCCTTAAAAATGATCTTATTATTCTTGCATTTAGCAAATACTGTATAACAATTTGGAAATCCTAACTGACCTAAATTCAAGAAATGTTTATTCTGATTTTACTTCAGTGTGAAAAAAATGCATGTGTCTTTTTATATAGAGTAGCCTATGTAAACTTCTGGTTTCAACTGTAGATGCAGTGTATTTTCATATAACARGAAAGTTTCTATGAAAGCTGGAGTCTCATGTAAACTATAAGGGTTTTTTACTTTTCTCAGTCTTACAAGTAAAATCCTCTAAAGTCCCATATCAGCTGATGACATAACTTCGAATACTGAAATAATTTTGGAAAATATGTGATGTACCATTCATGTACAATGAAYTGTGTACCCAGTGATCACACAATGAGCTTGTACAACCAGTTAAGTTTGTTTAGAAGTTCAGTGATTGCTCAAGTGTGGCTTAAAGATGGTGTTGTGGATGTATAAATCCTATATCCATGAAACATTATGGGCCTCTGGTAATAATTTTTCAGAATAAGAAGCTCATCACTGTTTGTGTTACCAGTAAAAACCACAAGAGGGTAATGTTTTCCAAAGAAACCCTTTGTTTCTTCTGTTAAAATGGTGTACATTTAGAAAAAAAAAACTTATTTGACTTCATTGTATAAGTATTTTGACTACAACTTTTTAGTGTAAGCTATTATTAGCAGGTTTAGATGATTATGTGTTGCAGAAAACAATATTTCTTTTCAGTAGTCAGACATCAAACCTATCTGTGATCTTGTTCTGGTTTATTGACGCAGGTTATGTTGCAACAGTTTACTGGCTGTAAAATCAGCTGTGATCTTTGGAAGTTGAACAGTAAGAAATGTGTTGCTGAAATCAAAAACAATTTAGAGAATGATTATTTCCTAAAGTAATTTTGTTTAAGGTTAGGTACATAAAACAAATTTAAGTTGAAATTTAAGTTTATTTCTGTTTTTTTTTCTTTTGTTTGTTTAGAAGATAAACAAAATCTTCACAATTACTAAAATAAAACAAAATCATTCATATTATTTACGAAATGAATAAAGATTATTTTACATTCTTTAAGCCATGATAACCAGAAAATCTTTACTTAACCCACTCAGCTCGTCTCTGAAATGAGCTGACATCACCTACAACTGTTCACTCCATTTCAACAATGATACAGGATGTTGTTCTAATTCCTGAATGAATGAAATTGTGAATTTGTTAAGTATTACAGCAATATGTCACATTTGACTAACAAATTGATGGATATTTGCTTTTGACTGAGCTCTGCACATCTTTCTAGCTCCAAGCAAGGTTTAGTGTATCTCTGCTGTGTGCGTCTTGGCCTGGAAGCATTTTTTYTAGCAGGTCAAATGCTCATCATGCTCTGTGGTCAGCTGTCTGTCACACATTGTTGTCATTCAGATAATCATCTCATATCTGTGATAGCTTTTGGTTTTAGAATAGCACTTATAGCACTGGAACTCTCTTCCCACTGCCCTAAAACTACAGATAAAGACATAAACATTTCTAACAGTGACAAAATATTTAAAATATCTCTAATTCATCTCGTGTTATCTTAATTAATTTTGACTAGCAAAATACGCCGTTGCAGACAGACACATTACACAATTTAAACTGATATTGCAGAATTGGGGAGAAGTTATGACAGTGTTAGAAAAATGCAAGAATCATGGTCATTCTTTGGAATTCACCATGTTCTGTATTACTAAGATACAACACACACCACRGTGATTAAGATCTGCAGCCAAATGCGTGCTGTGTTCTGCTTTTGTTGTCACTCAGAAACACTGGCAATTATCTGATATACTGTATCTAGGATAGTACTTTGCAGAAATTTTGAAGG